GTGTCTCTCCTTCCAAAACCAGGCGTCTGGATATGCACGAAAACAGCTGTTTTAGGAATCTGGAAAGCAGCATGAGTTAGTTCTGTCTGCAGAACTCAGTCTGCAATTTCATCAATCCTACAACGTGCTATGACAGAAAAAGTAAAACTGGAGGCTGCTACCAAACCCAAAACTCATTGACAGTACCATCAAGTGTCTGTGGGCTCCAGCTCTGTGCCAGGCCCTGAGATGAGGCCTGATGCCACGGTGCCCTGCAGGGGACTGCACTATAGAAGGCAACAGGTGATAACATACACGTGGACAGTAATGTGTGACATGAGGGAGTGATAAGAGCCATGAGGAACTATCGAGCAGGGTGGGAAGATAGGAGTGAGCGGGGAGGCCTCTTTGAGCAGCAAGATCTGAGCAAAGTCCTGGAGATAAGGAGGGCCAGCAGGGGCAGGAGACGGCTGGAGCGCAGGCTGGAGGAGCGGCAAAGCAGGTGGTGTGAGCAGAGGGAGCTGGGCTCCTACTCTAGCAATGCTCCCAGAGAGGCCACAGCCTCACCACCGAGTCCACACGGGAAACCGCACATCTCAGGGAAAAGGGCTTCTATCAAAACGGGGCTTCAGTGGACCAACAGGAATATCAAAATCAAGCTCTGCCATTCAAATGAAGTTTTAAATTTCAAGATAGCGTAGTGATTGCTGCAACACAAAGAGTCATCAAAGCAGTCTGTTAAAGAATGAATGGTTTCAGTGCACCCAGAATATGTGATTCACTCTGAATATTCTTTAAAAACATTACTTTGCCCAATGTATGAAAAAAATATAGCAAATTTAGTGAGGACAATTTATTGTGATCTGGAGGATGAGAACAGTCAAAACTGGTGCTCACACAGACTAAGTGTCCTGCTGTTTTACTGTCAGAAACACAGCGGCACAAGAAAGGGGCTGGTCTGATCATACAGGAGAGCCTGGCTTCATCCACCAAAAATACAAAGGACACAACTGTCAACATAAAAAAAAAAAAAAATCTGTTGCATTGTTATACACTAACAACCTGAAAAAAACAACAAAGGAAACAATCTCATTAACAATTGCACAAAAATAATAACATACTGGGGGCGCCTGGGTGGCTCAGTCGTTAAGCGTCTGCCTTCGGCTCAGGTCATGATCCCAGGGTCCTGGGATCGAGCCCCGCACCGGGCTCCCTGCTCAGCGGGGAGTCTGCTTCTCCCTCTCCCTCTGTCCCTCCCTGTCCCTACTCATGTTCTTGGTCTCTTGCTTTCAAATACATAAATAAAAGTCTTAAAAAAATAGTAAAATACCTAGAAATAAATTGAGCCAAGGGGGTAAAAGAGCTATACGCTGAAAATTACAAGAAATTAATGAAAGAAACTGAAGACCACACAAATAAAGGGAAATATATCCCATGTTCACAGACTGGAAGAAATGATACTATAAAAATGTCCCTAGTACCCAAAGCCACCTACAGATTCAATGCAATCCCTATCAAAATTCCAATGATATTTTTCATCAGAAATAGAAACAACAATCATACAATTTATATGGAACCACAAAAGACCCCAAACACCCAAAGCAACCCTGAGCAAGAACAAAGCTGGAGGCATCACACTTCCTGATTTCAAACTGTATCACAAAGTTTCAGTCATCAAAAGTGTATGGTATTGGCGTAACAGATCATAACAGATCAGGGTGCCCGGCTGGCTCGGTCAACAGAGCGTAGGACTCTTGATCGCAGGGTCGTGAGTTCAGGCCCCATGTTGGGTGCAGAGATTACTTAAAAAAACCCCAAAAAACAAAAAACCAAAACAGACACGGATCAACGGAACAGAACTGAAAGCCCAGAAATAAATCCACACATATATGGTCAATCACAACAAAGAAGGCAAGAATATACAATGGGGAAAGGACAGTCTCTTCCATAAATGGTCTTGGGAACAGTGGACAGACACATGCAGAAGAATGAAACTGGACCCCATCTCACACTGTGCACAAAAACTAACTCTAGGTGGATTAAAGACTAGAAATGACAGAAGACCCGAAACCATAAAGTTCCTAGAAGAAAACACAGGAACAAAGCTCCTTGACACGGGTCTCAGTAATGACTGTCCGATCAGGACACCAACAGTACAAGAAACAAGATCAAAAATAAATAAGTGCCATCACTGAACTCTACCCCTGAAACTGATAATACACTATATGTTAATGAATTGAATTTAAATACATAATAAATATATATTTGGAAATGGAAAAATGAATTATTACTGCATTCAATTAAAAAGCTTTTGCACAGAAGAAAATAATAAAATGAAAAGACAACCTACCAAATGAGAAAAAATATTTGCAAACCATCCATCTGATAAAGGATTAACATACAAAATATGTAAGAGATTCGTACAACTCAATAGCCAAAAGCAATCCGATTTAAAAATGGGCAATTTCCTGACCAGACATTTTCCAAAAGAGGACATCCAGATGGCCAACAGGTACATGGAAGGACGCTTCACCACCACCAATTACCAGGGATGTGCGGCTCAAACCCACGAGGGGGTATCATGTCCCACCTCTTACAATGGCTGCCATCCAAAGCTGAATTGGCAACAATGCCGGGGCGGGGGGAGGAAAGGGAGGCCTCAGGCACCAGAACTACTATGTGACCCAGCAACCACTTCTGGGTAAGTATCTGAAGGAAATGAAAAGAGACGCCTGCGCTCTGCTGCCCTCCTCAGCCTTCTTCTCAACGGGAGCAAATGGGCAGGTGAACAGGCGGAGAAAACAGGGGTGAGCCGCATGACGGACTATTACTCAGCCATAAAAAGGAGGACATCCTGCCATTTGTGAGGGCCCGGACGGGCCCTGAGAAACAAGGCTAACTAAAGTAAATCAGACAAAGAAAGACTCTCTATTCTCACTGTACATGCTCACTTACATGTGGCATCTAAGCCGAACTCAGAGACGGAGAGCAGAATGGTGGCTGCCATGTGCCGGGGTGCCAGAAATGGGGAGCTGCTTGTCAGACGGTACTCATTTCCACTTATAAGGTGAGGAAATTCTGGGGATCTCATGTACACCTCGGGGGCTGTGGCGAGCAATTCTGTCTTGTGTACTGGAAAGCCGCGGAGAGAGCTGATCTTAAATGTTCTCCCCACACACGGAGAAGGCAGTTACGTGAGGTGATGCTGGTGGTAACTCACTGCGGAGACTATTCGGCAGCACTATGCCTATCCACTCATCACACTGTATATTTTAGGTTTGTACAGTGCTACACGTCAACTGCATCTAATAAAGCTGGAATATAAAATAAGAGGCTTTCCCTCAAAAAAAAAAAAAGACATCATCAAGAAAGCAAAACCGACAATGCAAAGTATGGGGGGGGCATGCACGTGCAAGCTGGGTATCTGACAAGGCGTTTGTACCTGGAATATATACAACTCAGTGATAAAGACAATGAGCAAATAGTAAAATAAAAAAGTGGGCAAAGGATCTGAATAGACGTTTCTCTAAAGAACATACACCAAGAAGCACATGAAAAGATGCTCAGGAAAATGAAAATCAAGCCACGGTGAGCTACCATTTCATGCCCAGTAGGACAGCTATAATAAAAAAAAAAAAGATGGGCAATAATAAATAATCTGGAGGAAATTGAAAACCTCACACACTTCTGGTGGGAATGTAAACTGATGCAGCTATGCAGGAAGATTCTAGAAATTCCTCAAACGGTTAAACATAGTTATCACATGACCCAGCAATTCCACTCCTAGGTGTATACCCAAGGGAAGTGAAAACGATTTCCACACAAAAACTTGTACCCGAATGCTCATACTCACAGTAGCCAAAAGGTAGAAATAACCTAAATGTCCATCAACAAACAGGTAAACAAAATGCTGTATGCACACATCCACACAATGGAATATTATTCAGCACAAAAGGGAGTGAAGTATGGATACGTGAACTTCGGAAAGCATCTTGCCAAGTGAAAGGAGCCAATCACAAGAGACCACATGTTGTGTGATCCCATTTACGTGAAATGTCCAAAATAAGGAAACCTATAGAGACAGAAAGTGGGTTAGTGGCTGCCAAGGGCTGGGAGGCATTTGGCGACAATGAGTATGAGGCACAGAGGTGCTTTAGTACTGTGAGTGCACTACACAGCACTGACTTTGTCCACTTTGAACAGAGGTGCTACAGGGCGTGCAGACTTCATCTCACGAGGCTGTAAACACACAGACAAAACTTCCTCCAATTCCATGATTTTCTGAGGACCGCCTGTCCTGCTCTAGTATTCAAATATACATATGCACATATTTTATTTTTAAAAGACTTATTTTAGAGAGAGAGAGGAAGAGAGGGAGCAAGTGATGGGAGGGGCAGAGGGAGAAAATCTCAAGGAGACTCCACACTGAACATGGAGCCTCACGCAGGGCTCAATCCCGAGACCCTGAGATCACGACCTGAGCCGAAATCACAAGTCGGACGCTCGACCGACAGAGCCACCCAGGCGTCCCCTGTCTGCATTTTAAACAAGCGCTTTATGAAGGCCCAGAACCTGCCCTACCTCTTGGGCCCCTCTGTGCTGCCTGTTGTCAGCGCCCACCCCAGTGGTCACCCTGGCAGCTCTCCGGACGCAGCCCAACACCATGACTAGCGCCCAGAGAACCAGCTAACTGGAGGCCTGCCCTCCCCCACGAGACACCAGAGTGCCACCCGGTGGCCGGCAACCTCCCACCCCCTCTGCCAAAGCAGGGGGACTGGGAATTCACAACTTCCCTGATTTAGGGTGATGATAAGGAGCACTCGGTGCGCATTTCCACCGTAACACACACGGTACAGGATGGGGCGGCACCTGCTCCTCAAAACACATCATTTCCCAGTAACGACTGTGGGACTGTAGGCACCGGGCTATGGGAAGCAGACAGGACCCGTGACCAGCTGGTGAGCCCCCTCCTCTCCGGTCCCGGGGCCACCATCCCAGAGCCCAGCGGGCGGACGGCTTACCTTGGCGGCTGTGGGGAGCGGGGCTTCGGCTTCTCTTTCTCCTTCTCCCGCTCCTTCTCCCGGTCGCGGTCTCTGTGCTGTCGGTCCTTCTCATCCCGCTTGGCTCGCTCTCTCTCCCACTCCTCTTTCCTCCGCTGCCGCTCTTTGTCACGCTCCCGCTCGCGTTCCCGCTCCCGCTCCCGCTGCCGGCGCTCCCGCTCTCGGTCCCGCTCGCGCTCCCGCTCGCGCTCCCGCTGTCGGTTCTCCCGCTCCCGCTCGCGCTCCCGGTCCTAAAGCCAAACACACGTGCTGGGTGGCACCTGGCACCGAGTGCAGGCAGCACCCTGAAGGCCACAGGGAATGATCTCAAGTGCTCACTCTGTTCCCAAGTTTCTCCTTAAAACAGCGTTAGGCCATGAGCCAGATGCCAGCTTGGGACCCAACCTAAAGGTTCAGCACCACCCGCCTCCCACCTCAGCCCTTCCAGTGAGGGGTGGACACGACCTGGCAAGGCCTCTCATGGGCTCGGACCAAAGCACTCTGCTTGGTGGAGTCTGGCACAGAGGGGGCGCTCCAAAGTGGTGGCCCTTGCTTTCCTATGCACAACCCTTGAACATCTTTCTAAACCAGTCTGCACTCATCTGTTCATTTCCACTAATATTCAAAGTTAAAACGGTAAAGCCCAAATCATAGCACAAAGATGGGTTTTAGGCTCCAAGGAGCCTTGTGGGGAAATGAAGCATGTTCCTGCTCCTTCCCTGGCCCGCATCCTTGGACATGGTGGGGGAGAGAGGCGACGGAATGGGTGCTTGCGGCACCCGTACCCCGGCAGCCCGGCCCCACCGATGCTCTAGCAGGGAGAGAGGCACAGGATGGTCAACCACGGTCCGACCATCCATGGGTTCCCAGGACAGTCACCTCCTTTTGATCCTGAAAACTCAAAACTCTGTCATATGACTCACAGGACAAAGACCACCCCACTGCTCCCACCAGACCTTTTCTTAGCGGCAGGTTCCCCACCACTCTGAAAACATGAGGGACTCAAAACACTGAAACACATTCGTTCATCGAAAAATACCAATACAGGATAGTCCTCCAGGAGACCACCATGGCAGAGCTGGGGAGAGGCCCAGGTTATGAAAATGGAGAAGGACAGCACAATTATAAACGGTATTACTAAGGAGTCTGAAGGAGGAATTTGTTCAGGAGGGTGGAACACACTCCCATGCAAGCTTATATTAATTTTTTTTTAAAGATTTTATTTATTTATTTGAGAGAGAGAGAATGAGAGAGAGAGAGCACGAGAGGGAAGAGGGTCAGAGGGAGAAGCAGACTCCCCGCTGAGCAGGGAGCCCGACGCGGGACTCGATCCCGGGACTCCAGGATCATGACCTGAGTCGAAGGCAGTCGCTTAACCAACTGAGCCACCCAGGCGCCCTTATATTAATATTAATAACCCAATCAGTAAACCTAAGTTTTAAAAAAACCATAGCAGAACTACAGGTAAACTAAAGGAAGTCTCTGTTCAAACCACCACCAATTCAATCTGTGGACCTGAACTGTTTCTCCACAGTTAATTTAGGCTTGAAACTGATACACTGCCAACACAGTACTAAGACCGTATGAAGTCCTATAAATTAAAAAGCAGATCATTTTAAGGAATTGCCCAGTGAGCTCAGATGTGCACACCCGTATCCCACTTACCCGGTAATTATGGTACGGCTCCGTCTCTGTATACTGCACCCGGAAGTTCTCGTACTGCCCGCCACGCCAGAAACGCTCGATTTCATAGTCGTAATACGGGTCTGCGTAAGGCTCTAGTCTGAAAACAGAGCCCGGGAAAAGTAAATCTTGCCACTTGGGAATATTAATGCACAAACATTACATAAAATGTTAGCAAACAGAATCCGACACCACGTTATGAAAACAGACACCATGACTCGGTGGGATTTCCTCCAGGAGTGCAAGGTTGGGCCAATACGAGGAGATTCATGACAAACCTAGAGAGAAAAATCACAGGACTGCACCCACAGATGGTGGCAGTGTCTGGGACAAGAGTACCCATTCCTGATGACAAAACTGAAGGAAAGTGGAGGTGGCGCTTTCTTAATGTGACCACACATATGTGTGCACTGTGGGACTAAAGCCATGGGCACAGAGGGGCGTTTCTGTAAGGCCAGGCCAAGGCGAGGAAGCCACGGCCTCCAGGAGCACCCACTGGCGGGACAGGGGCCCAGCCACTACAACCAGGAGGCCAGAGACTGGGCAAAAAGGAAAAAGATCTACACCTGGAAACTGAGGCACAGTAAAGCCACTCCAAGCAGCCAGAAGAACCCAGTGAGGCAGACCGAGAGCAAACACTCACCGCTTGGGAGAGAGCAGAGAAGTCTGCATTTACAACAGCAAGCAAGAAACAAAAATACTGAGGAATAAAGTTCATTTAACCAGAAACGAGCAGAACATATTTGAGGAAAATTTCACAACACTCTCAAGAGAACATAAAGAATTGGAAAAATGTTCCATGCTCATGGACTGGAAGAACCACCACTGTTAAAATATCTACACATTTGGGGTGCCTGGGTATTATGCTAAGTGAAATAAATCAAAGAAAGACAATTATCATGATTTCACTTGCATGTGGAATTTAAGAAACAAAACAGAGGAACATACGGGAAGAGAGGGAAAAATAAAGCAAGACGAAATCAGAGAGGGGGACAAACCATGGGAGACTCATAAGGATAGAGAACTGAGGGTTGCTGGAGGGGAGGAGCTGGGGGACGGGCTGGATGGGGGATGGGCATTAAGGAGGGCACTTGTTAGGATGACACTGGGTGTTCTATCGAAGTGATGAATCACTGAATTCTACTCCAGAAACCAATATTGCACTGCATGTTAACTACCTAAAATTAAAACAAAAACAAACACAAAACACTGGAAAGACACAAAAACACGTGAATAAATGAGACAATGTTCCCTGTGCTGGGTCAGGATGACCAGACACTGCCAAGGAGTTAACTATCTGTCCGTTAATTAATAAACGTAGGGTAATCCTGGTACAAACAGCAGTGAGCTTCTGTCTGGAGCTAGACAAGCTGGCTCTCAGGTGCCCAGGGAGACAGAGGAAAGGGAGACCAGCCAAGAAAGACACGCCCTCTGAGACAATAAGCCATGGTAGGAGGCCTTTCTGGGGAGGAAAGGAATGGCCCACAGGAATGTGACAGGAAACCCAGAGACAGACCCCAGTAGGGAGGATAAAGGAGCCTCCCGCAGGGAACCACCACTAACCTCTGTGAGGAAGGTGAGGAGACCCCACCTTACCCACAGACCCAGAGAACCTGCCCTGGGGATGCCTGGGACCCCGATGGAGGAAAGAGGAAATGTAAACCCAAGGAACACAGGGGCATTCTTCCAGGGCTTTCTTGGCTCGAGACCAACTCTCCCCTTTGAGTAAGCTGGTGGGGGAAACCGAGGCGCCTACAGCCCACAGAGGTGTTGTTCTGGGCAGCCGCCAAGGCCTACACCAGGCGGACCATCTGGGTCACCTGATGGCCTCCAGCAGGCTGCTTTTTGGGAGGCCTCTCCCCGGCTCGTCCAGGACCTCCGTCCGGCAGGCACCCCCCAAGGCTGGCTCTGTGGATGACACAGCTCTCTTTCATTCCAAGCAGCCAGACATCTTCCTAAGCACCTAAGCCCCACACTACTCAGATCGTACTTAAGACAAGAGTCAGGAAAGGCAGAGGCCTGCTGCAGCCGTAACAGAAGAGAGAATGCGGCCCCCGAGGCACCAGCACCATCTGCAACTAACTGGAGGCCCTGGGGAGCCCTTTCCCAAGTGGGTGTGAGGGTGTACGTTCTCTCAAAGGAGAGCTGTGCCTGCCGATTCGTGTTTGGGAAACTGGGTAAGTGGGGTGAAAACGGGCCCTCTCCTGAGGGACTGCTCAGATCAGGCGGCGCAAGCGGCAGTACGCTCGATGGACGCATATTGGTAAGGGCTCCACCCCAGGCCCCAGGTTACCGCTGTTGACAGCTCCTGCCAAGGACCTCATTCCTCACAGCTGACACCCTGGGGTCCCCTTGTCTGCCAGTTCCCACCGTCCTGTGGGCTCAGCGTGGCATTCTGGGTTCACACCCCACCCCAGCAGCCTGTGCAGAGAGGTTTCCTTCCTCCCTCCCTCCCTCCCTCCCTCCTTTCTTAAGTAGGCTCCAAGCCCACCATGGGGCTTGAACTCATGACCCCCGAGATCAAGAGTTGTGTGCTCCCGGGCGCCTGGGTGGCTCAGTTGGTTAAGCGACTGCCTTCGGCTCAGGTCGTGATCCTGGAGTCCCGGGATCGAGTCCCACATCGGGCTCCCTGCTTAGCGGGGAGTCTGCTTCTCCCTCTGACCCTCTTCCCTCTCGTGCTCTCTATTTCTCATTCTCCCTCTCTCAAATAAATAAATAAAATCTTTAAAAAAAAAAAAAAAAAAAAAAAGAGTTGTGTGCTCCCGACTGAGCCAGCCAGGTGCCCTGAGGGGACATTTCTTAATGTCTTGTGCGTGTCAGATCCCACAAGTTGTTCGGCATCTGAATAAAGTGCCTCAGGGTGGTGGAAAGAAGGTCCTAAAGCTATGAATTGGGGTCTGTCTAGAAAGACACTATTTTTACCAAATGATCCTGCTGGACAAATTAATTCCAAATAATAGCATAAAGATAACACCTGTTTTCCTGTCCTTTATGCCACCTCAGAGAGCTTCCTCACAGCTCCTGAGCAGGCATCTCCCCAGCGGGTCTCTAATGAAGCACCCAGCTCCGTGTTACTGGAGCCCGACCATGAATAAGGCCACCAGGGGCCACCACGTGACAGCGATTCAGAATTTTCCGTCCCTACCCTCAGCATCAGGCCAGGGAGCCCAGGTCCCGGGAACGGATGTCCACGTTCTCAGACCTCAGTGGGTGGGCAGCAGAATCACCCAGAAGGCTTGTTAGCAGCCAGCTGGGCTCCACCCGCCCTTGACGCTCAGAAGGGGGAATTTCTGACAAGCCTCCCAGCCTGGTGTGCTGTTGATCCCGAGGCCAACCCCGGAGCTCCACCCTTGGGCCTGTGCCCCCCTCCCCTCGCCTGGCACACACAGGGACCTTGGTCACAGGCCTGCTGCGCTGCCAGCTGAGGGGCAGCTGGGCACCAAAGTGGAGACGCTGCAGGCTCCCAGGAAAGGAGAACCAGTAATGCTGGGCATTCTAAGTTTTCCATCGCTGGCCCTTGAACTGCTGTTAAGCTCCCTGCTTGGTGTCTCAGCCGCCCTGCACACTCTCTGCCAAGTGCTCTGTGTGAGGCTGGCCCACAGCAGGTGCCCCAGGAGCTGGTGAGGCTGGGGTGGACAAGGGCTCTGTCCTGGCCCCGGCCCATCACTGCCTTCAGGGCTCCTGCACCCCGGCCTCCTCGCTCACCTCAGAGACATCAGTGTAGCTGGCCAGCATCCCCTCCTCAGTGGCTGGACTCCCAGCACCTCCTCCAGCCTCTCCCTTCCCTCCCTGCAGGGGTGGGGGCACTGCTTCCTGCAGGTGCTGCTCCCAGAGTCTCATAGACAGCGTGTCTTTACGTTACATGCTCTTCATTACAATAGCCAGGGGGATCTCCTCTGCTTAGTGGATGCCAACTGACACAGCAGAGGTGGCTTCCCACCTGACCCATGCCGGGACCCTGTTCCCGGAGGTCCTGACTGACAACGTCTGGCTGGGGCCTGGCCCACGAGTGTCGCAGAAGCCCTGGTTCATCAGCCCCAAGGCCCCGATGTTCAAACATCAAACCCGAGTGAGAACTTGGCTCGAAGACCCATCTTCAGAGGCTTTAGAGGCTGAAGGCCCTGCAGCGGGGACCCCTCCCCCCGTCCCCAGCAGAGGAGGCATGGAGTCAGCAGCCAGTGTCAGCCCGGCACCAAGCGCAGGGCTGGGGGAGGCCAGACCCAGACTCGCCACATTGTTCCTCAGGAGGCACGTGTTCAAGTCCCCGCTCCAACCAGGGCTGGGAAACACAGTGGCAAGGGCGAACCTTGAGGTTCTAAACCTCTTCTTTCAGGGCTCAGAATGACCACACTCAGGGAGCACCCACTGCTCCGTGCTAGTCACATGCCCCACACCAGAGCTCCCGGGATCCCACCCTGCCCCCCGCAAGGCAAGATCATCACCTGCATCTGACACAAGGAAAATGCGAGGCCTCAGGACACGAAGGGAGCCGCGTGACTTAGCAGACAGTCCTGACTCCCATGTTCCTGCCTGGGGTCTGACACGCCCCCATACCCAGAATTACAAAACACAGAGGTCTGAACCCCGTCTTTCAACCTCTATCCATCGACCCCTGAGCTGTTCCCCGCCATGACAGGCCTGGACCAAAGAGCTTCTCCTCCTTTCTGCCCATGTGACAGGAGGGCCCTGAGACAGCCTGGCGGGAGCAAGTAAGGGCAGCGGAGTCCCTCCCCTCCGCACCGTCCACCAGCACCTTAGCCAAGCCCGGTGACGGGGCTTTCCCGGAAGCAAGCGTGAACGCACGTCACTACAAGCCTGACACGACGCTGAAGGCGGCTCCGACCACAGGCCGAATGCCACGCCGTCCCTGAGACCCGGGCCCACACTGCAGCTACTGCCCAGGAGAAACCTGCCTGATTCTGCTCCACAGAGGAGAGCACAACGAAGCTGGCCTTCCTTCCCCTGGAACTGGAGCACGGGCAGACGAGAGCTTTACTTAATGTTACATGATTTCTAAAACCCTGACTTAGGTTTTCAACCATGTGTACTTTGGTAATGAGTCTCTAAAAGACCAGCAGTAAAACACCTGGCAGAAAAAAACAACAAAGACAGCATTTACAACGAAAAGGGTCACACCTGCCAAGTTCCTGGACTCTGGTGACAATCTCATGGGGGCCTGGAGGAGGGTGGGCAGAGGCGGACCGACGAGGCTCCAAGAACAGCTGTAGAAGCTCTCCGAGCTCAGAGGAACCCACAGGGAGGCAAGCCCCCCCCCCCCCCCGCGCACGGCCCTGGCAGAGCTGACACTCTTCCTTCACGGAGCAAAAAACCAAGGAAAGTTCATGCAGAGAGTCTGAAAGGATCCTGGGGATGCCATTCTCAGTCCAGGACAGGGGACAAGCATAGGCCAGCAATGCCTGAGGGAACCTACGTGCCTCTGCTCTCCAGAGCCCGTGGCTCACACAGCTGGGGACAACTTAATACTTTATCAAAAGGGAAGGAAGAGACCAGAACTGTTCTTACACTGTGTCTCGGACATCTCTGGTGATCCGGTAATTCCAATCCCGGAAAACTTCATTCTCCTTGTCAAACTCCCGTTCATCTTCACCAATGGTCACCGTAAACCTTTTCTCTTCAAAATCAGGCTCCTGTTCTTTTCGAATGGTTGCTTTTTTTAAAACCTACCATTGTAAGAAAAAGTCAATGCCGGTTACCGTTAAGAAAAGCAAAGGGAAGCCTGTCCTGGTGTGACCTGTGGAGCCCCGGCCAGGATGGCCGAGTGGCCCCCATGCGCGGTGGGGGAGATGCGCCTCAGCTCTGGGCCTGGAGCGCGCGGTCGCTGCACCTGGCAGTCAGGACAGGCCCGCTCAGCAGTGCCACGGAGCTCGCTCACATTCCAGAAAGGGCTGAGAGAGCTGGCCACCTCCTAGAAATAGTCCTGACGCTGAGCTGGGGAGCCCCAGACAGTCACTTCGTGAGGAAGCCCAAGTGCGGAGAGGAAGGTGAGGCAGCTGGTGGCAGAAAAGCCACATGGAGTGGTTCCAGTCTCAAAAGAAAGGAGGGGTGGTGGGGTGTGGGCTGAGCGAGGGAGAAGGGTTTTGTCTTAGTCTGTCACCTCCCTGGAGAGAAGTGGGGGCTCAGCAAGCAGGCCTGGTGCCGACGGACCACTAGCCTGACAGCCAGGGCCACGGTACGGAGTGAGGGAGCGGGAAGGGAGGGGAGGGCGGTCTTGGAAGAGGACAGCTCCTCCACAGGCAGGGGCCCCTGCGCTAAGTCCCCAGGGAGCGGGACTGGGCGGCCAGCGGCTGGGCTGTGGGCGCTGCAGCACCAGCTGGGCTGTGGTCTGCTGCTGCCCAAGCCAAGGGAAGGCAGCAGGCCTGTGCTGTGACCTCACGCACCTCGGAGAGGTCGACAGACATCAGTTTCCTTTTGTAACTCTTCAGAGAAATCAGAGAAATATACCCTCACTTCAGAGACTTTACTGGGTTTTCAATCCTTGTCCCTGAATCAAAGAAATGCTACTTTTGCTCAAGGAGCGCTGCTAGCATTTTCTTCTCGGGCTGTCTGGTTACCTCCTTCGCGTGCCGGAGTCCTCGTTCCCAGGCACTCTCTGTGGGGGGCTCTGGAGGGGGTGGAGGCAAAATTTCATCAACTACTGGCCCACCCTATTAAAAAACAAGAAGGGAAAAGTTGAGAAAGCAAGCAAAACTTTAAAATTTATAAAGAAACGGGAGCAAAAACCCCAGCAAGAGCGTTAGTGGTTGCACACCACCCGCTCTCCAAGCCTCAGTCTGGCCCCGGACCCACTGCCCTGCCTGAATCTAGAATTACCTCCACATGGAGACACGGAAGCATCTGGAAGGCGACTCAGTGACTGTGTGACGTCACAGAAGTGCCTTTTAAACAAGGTGTGTTAATGTGCTGTAAGCTGAGGATTCAGAGAGCTTAGGTGTCCCATCTGCTAGCAGTTAAAGAAAAGAGGTGTTCACGCACCCAAGGGTTGGCAGGCATCAGTGGGTGAGGTCCAAGAGGCGGGGCACCATTAGGCGGGAAAGGCTCAGCTTTGGTGATCAAGGAATAGTTGCCCTTGTCGTTGACTCCGGGATGTATAAACCTACAGTTCATTCCCCACGTGCAGTTCCCTATGGAGACAAAAGCCGGGTCAGAAAGGGGAGAAGGGAACCAGAGCTCACGGGTCAGCTTCCTGCTCGCTCTGCCTGCAGCAGCAGCAGCCTGGGGGCAGTCCTGGGGTCAGCGGCTCTACGGAGGGCTGGGGAGGCACCCCCCCCCCGCCCCCCGCGTGCTCCAGGGCTCCTGCCGCAGCCCTCGCTGCCTCGCTAGCTGCGTCACCTGAGCATGGACAGGTCCCAGGGCAGGCGGCTGCAGCGGCAGAGTCGAAGCTCAGAGCGGGGCCGTGCGGGCCCACTCCTCACGCCTGAACCGGGCGCAGCAACCAACCCCCCACCACGCGCAAGTTCCTGACAGGCGGGCCAGGAAGGTGTCGGGCCAGAGCGCGGGCTGAGGAGCCTCCCGCGAGCAGGACCTCCTAAGGGCTCCCGAAGGGCTGGGGTCATGTGGTCGAGGAAACACAGCCCCCGTTCCTAAGTCACTCTGGGAAGAGTTCATCGCCCCCTAAAAACAGTGAAGTCCCAGAGCTTCCCAGACGATCCCAGGCCGCCCCCTGCTCTGTGAGGTACACTGCACCGCCAGGAGGGCTCCGAGGTGTGCGTGCAAGATCCTTATCCTGACTCCAAACACTGCGATCACCTCAAGAATTCTGCGTCTGTCTCAGGGTGTCTCTACCAGCTCTGTAAATCTGCATTTCTCCCACCAAAAGTCTCACAAACCATCCCAGGATACTTCTGCGCTTGAAAATGTGAGAGAGCCAAGATATGGAGGACTCAAACACACTGGGTGTTCACACTTTACAAAAACACGGTAAAAAATGTCCTCTTTTAGAATTACTCCCTAACAGAACACCAAGATGATTCAAGGAAACCACGTGACTTTTCAGAGCAGAAGGCAAGAAGTCCAAGTTTTAATTTAATCAGTAAGTGAACCACTTTTTAAAAATTTAATCTGGGGGGGGGTGCCTGCTCAGTTGGTGGAGTGTGCAACTCTTGATCGCAGGGTCACAAGTGTGAGCCCCACGTTGGGCAGAGATTATTTTTTATTTTATTTTTATTTATTTATTTTTTTAAAGCTTTTATTTATTTGACAGAGAGAGACACAGCGAAAGAGGGAACATAAGCGGGGGGGGGGTGGGAGAGGGAGAAGCAGGCTTCCCGCCGAGGAGAGAGTCCGATGTGGGGCTCGATCCCAGGACCCTGGGATCATGACCTGAGCCGAAGGCAGACACTTAACGACTGAGCCACCCAGGCGCCCCCGGAGATTACTTTAAAAAAATAAATAAATAAAACACATGAATAAAAATAAAAATTTAATTTTTTAAACATGTAATATCTATATAAGAATAAAAATAAATATGGCATAAATATCTAATTTTAAAAGCATTTTCAATGGGTTAACATGTAGTTCAATTTTAAACCATCTTTTAATATATATTCCCTTCTAAATGTGATATTCCACTTGAATGTTTCTATCAACAAAACACATTTTTCCTTGTATAACATAAAGAGAAATAATCATTTGGTATTTAAGAAAAAGCTAAATTTGACATCATGAATAAACTTGTATTAAAACCAACCTAATAACATACTGATCTGAATTAAATGCAAAATAAAGTATGCTTAAAATTAATTCTCTGGAAATGCAGAAATGACTTTTAAAATTCTTAAAGTGTTAGAGAGATCACATAAGTCAGAGGCTGGGAAATATTACACTATGAGGGTTTCAAATCCCAGAGTCTCAGAGAGCTTGACAGAAAACAGACCTTGTATGCAGTCCTGCATCTAAATAAAGGGCTGTCAGGCCCTTCCCCATCTGTCACAGAGCTCGCACGGTATCCTCACTGATGTGCAAAACTCCAGGTCTCCATAAGTTTTTTAACCTAACATATGTACCTGGGTGGTGGATAAATGGGTATTTGAGAATCACTGTTCTTTTTTGTATGTAAAATATATTTTTTAAAGATTTTACTTATTTATTTTAGAGAGAGAGAGTGCAAGTGTGTGTGTGGGGGGGGGGGGAGGAGCAGAGGGGGAGGGAGAGGGAAGAGGAAAGCAGCCCAAGCAGACTCCGCACTGAGCGTGCAGCCCAGCACGGGGCTTAACTCACGACCCTGAGATCATGACCTGAGCTGAAACCAAGAGTCGGACACCACCCAGGCGCCCCTATATGTAAAATATCTTCAAAACGAAACCAAAAACATCACCCAATGAGCCCACTGACAAAAAAGATCTTTTCTTGCTCCCACAGGCAGGGGGAGTAAAGAGGAACAGAAGAAATCAGTCAGGAGTGCCAGAGGCAAGAGCAGCGAGTGGCCTGTGCCCCGAGACTCCGGTGGGTGACAGGAGCTTGTCCTCGTGGACCATGTGCGCCTGGGTGTGCAAAGATCCCAGCTGGACATGTCTTGACTCCTGGCCACCAAACACAAGGAGAAGGTTGCTCCAGGCAGGAGGAGAGGTCTATAAGCACCTACCACCAGGACGGATGCCCAGCACACGCAGGGAGGAGGGAGCACAGGGGCTGTCCACTCCCAGTAGCCTTTTGATTTTTTTAAGATTTTACGTCATCTCTACACCTGATATGGGACTCAAACTCACAACCCGGAGATCAAGATTTGCACACTCCATCGACTGAGCCAACCATCCACTAGCCTTTTTTTTTTTTCTTTCTTTCTTTATTTTTAAAGATTTTATTTATTTGACAGAGAGAAAGAGAGCAAGAGAGGGAACACAAGCAGAGGGAGTGGGAGAGGGAGAGGCAGGCTTCCTGCTGAGCAGGGAGTCCAAAGCGGGATTCAATCCCAGGAGCCTGAGATCACGACCTGAGCCGAAGGCAGATGCTTAACGACTGAGCCACCCAGGCGCCCCACCACTAGCCTTTTTAAAAGTGGATTTTTATCTGTGTAGAAAAAAGCCTGGAAGGAAACACCCCAAACTGTTGGATGGTAGAAAGACTTTTATCTTTTACTGTCCTACTCTCTGTCAGTATGTAGTACTTTCATAATTTAAAAAATCATTTTGTTTAGGGAAAAATATTCTCGAGAAATTGGAGGCAAAAATCTTGTTTTAAAACTATATGGTCTTCTACTTCCAAATGAAACTTCACAAACACAAATTTATGTGGACTGTGACTCTGACCGGGGAAAGAAACAGGCTCCCAAAGATGTAACGACTCCACGTGAGGACCCGGATGCGAGCCAGCAGGGAACAAGGAGAACTGGAAGCATGGTCACGGCGGCGGCACGGGGGACAAGATTCTTCGCAAAGGCACTAATAATGTTCGATTTCGTAACTGAATGGTGGGCATCTTAGGTACTACTGTTTTTTTAATCATCATATAAGCCTCAGCAGACACTGTTATTGTATATACGTGAAATATTTATAGGTATGAAATAAAAGTTAACACATAAAAATATATCCAAATACTCTAAAAGGTATTCAGTGAAGTCCCCATGCTTCCAGGGCCCTCGACCAGAGACAGTTATCAATTTGCTGGGGATGGATCAATCAATCAATCGATGTATCCACCCCCATGTTTCCCCCGCTTCTATCGTACCCTGTGTGTTGACCCTTGCTTCTCTCACTAAATCACAGATCCATGAAAAAGGAAGCTGTGTGTGCATTACCAACACACCCATGACCAGGGAGACACACACGACCTTTGCAGAAAACCTACCCAGTCCTTCCACAGCCATCAGAGGAACTGAACCCAGAGATGATGGGACACCAAAGCCACGTCTCCTGTGGCAGTAAGCTGCGGCTCACAACCACACACCTGACTGATCCAAGGACCCGACCCGTCCCTCCTGCAGCATGCAATGGCAGGAGAAGAAAGCACATCTGTGGGCACACTCGCGAGTGCGTACGCGTGCCGGGTCCAGAAAGACGACCAGAGTCGGTCTGACTGGTTGCTGGTACGGCGCAGGGCTGGCCTCGCCTAGGGGCTCTTCTCTGTGTCTGTGAGGCATCCTGCTACCGTGTTATTTCTAAGTAAGACACAGCGGTCCCATTTTCTGTTAGTCTAAATAACTCAGAATAGAAAATAAATACAGGGATTGTAAAAATCAGGAGGTTTAAAGTGCTTCATGGTTTTAGGAAATTATCACTGAAAGGCAGGATATGTAAAAATGTAACCATTCAATATTAAGGACAAACTGAGAATCTATAAACATGTATCCTAATGGGCATCAAGTCCCATGGACCATCACGTGCAAGTTTTTAACGAAAGAACACAAACAACTCAGGATTACTTTCCTTTCCCATTTCACCGACAACCAGTCACCTCTCCGGGTATCTGAGATACTTTAATTTCTCTAAGGAATACCTTCATTGTGCTAGCTGAAATAATTAATATCTGGGCTGCTTCTTTGTAAATAATGTAGACTTGAAACCAGAAGTTCTTTAACTTCTAGGTCTTAGGAGCCCAAAGCATCACAAATGGGTCGTATCTATTTACTATAGAAATTAAGACTGAAAAAATTTAAAGACACAGTATATGCTATGTGTAACTTATGGTAACAATACATTAGCATAAATGTTTCATGAAAGATAACTTTTAAAAATACTTAATGACGCGAGCAGAACTCTCTTCCTTTTTGCAAACCTCTTTCAAGCTGACAGGAACACAGAAGACAGCAGTTCTCTCTTGTCGGCTTCTGCATTCAGTTTGCCAGGAGAGCTCGTTTGCGCTGAAGTAGGTGAAGGTAAGCCAGCCTCAGGCCAACTCTGCAGCGACTCTCGCATGCCCTTGAGGCCACTTGGACCTTGTCAAGCAAGGCTTCTCAGCCGTTACTTGCTGTGCGGGGTCTGTAACCCTCGCACTGAACATTTCTGACTGTTCCACAGACGCGCACTGCTCCGCCTCGAACTGCGAGTGGACCTTCTACGCAGGTGTGATTCTGGGACACCATGCAATGGTCATCTGGAAAAGTCATTAAGCACCGCGGGTGGAGATTCAGGCCCTCCAAAACTCTGACTTTCACGTGAGAGCCCAAAGCTCATCGTTAGCAACAGACACTGTCAGCTGTTATACCGGAGGCGGTGGGCTCACTTTGTTTCGGAGGAGACCGTGCTCTGTGTCCTGCGGTGGTCCCTGCTCACTGCGCAAGCCTTGCGTGCCCTCCCTGGAGATGCGGCTGGCGCCTCCCTGTGCGGCTGAGGGGCTCCGGGAGCGCTCGCATCTCATCAGGCTGGATGTGGGAAAGACCAGCACTGTGGGGTCGGTCTTCCTGGAGCGACGGACGTGCTCTACAGCTGGATTGTGGTGACGGCCACACAACTTGGTAAATTTAATAAAAATCATTGAATTGTATGCTTAAAACACATGAATTTCAGGGCATGGATATTATATCTCAATATATTTTTTTAAAGACCTGTACTCAAATGTAAAATTTAATTATAATTCTTACTGCTCTCTTAGAGACATCATTAAGTGAAATTGCTATTACTCCACTCCAAGTGTCTGGTGGTCAGTACCCAACTACTAGCAGGCTCAGGACCACAAAAGTAGTTTTGACCTCAGGGTCCCTTCAAAGGATTTTAAGAACCTCTAGGGGTCTGCAGACCACATTTGAAGACCTGCTGCTTTAAACATAAAAGAGAATGCAGGGATTCAAAAACGGGCAATGAACATTTCTCCAATGAAGACAGACTGTTCAAAACGCCAACGGACCCATGAAAAGATGCTTACCATCACTAATCATTATGGAAATGTAAATCAAAACCACAATGAGATACCATTTCTCATTAGGATGCTTGCTATCAAAAAGAACACACTAAGTGTTGACAAGGAGGCCCTGGGTCCTTGCGCACCACGGGCGGGGATCCAACGTGCTGCTGCTGCGGCAAACAGCATGGAGGCTCCTCAAGGAATTAAAAATAGAATCACCATATGATCCAGTAATTCCAGTTCTGGGTACACACCCCCAAAATTTGAAAGTAGGGTCTTGAAGACACATTCGCATACCTATGTTCACAGTAGCAAAAAGATGGAAACATCAAGTGTCCATTGTTGGATGAATGGATGAACAAAAATGTGGTGTACACACAATGGAGTACTAACCTAGGAAAGGAAGAAAATTCTGACACCTGCTAAAAAACAGATGAACCTCAAGGACACCAGGAAATAAGGCAGTCACAAAAAAACAAGAATCGTATCATTCCACTCCTATCAGGCATGTAAAGTAGTCAAATTCAGGGGCAGTAGAATGGTGGTTGCCAGGGTCTGCTGGAGGGAGCAATGGGGAGTGATTGTTTACTGGCTACAGAGTCTCAGTTTTACAAGAGGGAGAGAATCCTACAGATGAATGGTGGGGGTGGCAACAAAGTAAATGTACTCAGAGCCAGGAACTGTATACCTGAAAATGGTTAAGATGGTAAACTTTACATTAGGCATATATTACTAAACTGTGTGTGTGTGTGTGTGTGTGTGTGTGTGTGTGTGTGTGTGTGTGTGTAAGAAAGGGGGGAGAAAAGGGGGAGAACAGGAAGGAGCAGAGACGAGGTCTGGCCCACAGAACGGATGGGCAGTACTGACAGCTGGCTCAATCAGAACCCAAAGTAGGACACAATTTAAAGAAAATGTTATTTATGCTTTTGCAGATAGTACTTTTTATCTTGATGATTCAACTTAAATACACTAGAAGTAAAAATACACCACAAACAAAATACTGGTGCTTAAAAATGTTTCCATTTAGGGGCACCTGGGTGGCTCAGTTGGTTTTAAGTGTCTGCCCTCAGCTCAGGTCATGATCTCAGGTCCTGGGATTGAGTCCCGTGTCGGGCTCCCTGCTCTGCGAGGAGTCTGCTTCTCCCTCTCCCTCTGCCTCTGCCTGCAGCGCCCCCTGCTTATGCTCGCGCTCTCTGTCAAATAGATAAAACCTTTGAAAAAATGTTTTGGGGCACCGGGGTGGCTCGGTTGGGCAACTGCCTTCGGCTCGGGTCATGATCCTGGAGTCCCCAGATCGAGTCCTGCATCGGGCTCCCTGCTCAGCGGGGAGTCTGCTTCTCCCTCTGACCCTCCCCCCTCTCATGTGCTCTCTCTCTCTCTCTCCTTCTCGCTCTCTCAAATAAATGGATAAATAAAATCTTTAAAAAAAAATTAAAAAATAAAAAAATGTTTCCATTTTTATTTCTAAGTACATTTCATTGTCAGTGGTCACAAATGCCAATGTATCCATTTGGGCAATTAATGATTAATCTGCAGAAATCTTTTAATAGAAATATAACTAACAAATTTTCTGAGGAAGAATTTTTCCTAAGGGGCGCCTGGGTGGCTCAGTCGTTAAGTGTCTGCCTTCGGCTCAGGTCATGATCCCAGGGTCCTGGAATCGAGCCCCGCATCAGGCTCCCTGCTCGGCGGGAAGCCTGCTTCTCCCTCTGCCACTCCCCCTGCTTGTGTTCCCTCTCTGGCTGTCTCTCTGTCAAATAAATAAAATCTTAAAAAAAAAAAATACACATACTCTTAAAAAAAAAAAAAGGAAGAATTTTAAATTAAGATAGAATTCACATACCATAAAATACCCCAAACTACAGTGCATAATTTAGTGAGTTTTAGTATGTATGCAGAAGGTATGCAACCATCACCCTAGAAGGAAGCTCCACACTCCTTGGCCATCACCCCCACTGCCCGCTCCCACTCCCTCCCTCCCCACCCAGGCTCTGCGGCCTAGACAATGACCAACCCAGTTCCTGCCTCTACGGAGCCATGCTGGATGGTTCGTATAGATGAAAATGCACAAGAGGGGGGCCTTTTGTGTCTGGCTTCTTTACTCAGCAGAATGTCCTCAAGGTTCATCCATGCTGTGGGGTCAGCACTTCATTTGCTTCATGGAGGCATAACATCCCACTGTGTGGACAGCCCACAATGTGTTTAACCATTTATGAACTGACGGACATTTGGGTTGTTTGCACCTGTTGGCTACTTTGACCACTGTTTTTATGAACATTTATGTACAAGTTTTTGTGAGGATGTACGTTTTCCTTTCTTGTGAGTAGAGACCTAAAAGCATAAGTGATCGGATCACTGGAGAGTTCTACCCTTTCCTGTTCTCCAGGCCGCCACACTGTTTTCCAGCAGCTGCACCATTTCGTGCTCCCACCAGCAGTGTGTAAAGGTTCCATTTCTCCACATCTCATCAAATGCAACAAACTCCATTTTATTTTTAAAGTGACTTCTCTTGCTAATAAATGGAAATTACACGGACTCATCTCAAATTAATACTAAGCTTATAAACTGAAGGTAAACAAAAACATTTTCACCCAAAAACTCTCCTAAGAAAAGAAGCAAGAGATAAGTTCTAAAACACCCAAAGAATCAATTTCTTTCTGTACTGTATCACACCACTCCGAGGAATAAACAAGTAAGTATGGGCAGAAAAGGTAAATATATACTTAAAAGCAAAGTCTGAAACAAGTTATTGATTATGCCCAATCAAGTTGCAAAGAGGGCCAGTTGCCACTAGCCTCGGATTTCTCTGCAGAAAGCCCTGCCCACTGGCCTTTGTCTCTGAAACCCAAGCTGAACATTTCGCTGGACTGTTGGAGGGGACCTCCCTCCTACTGCAATGTGGCCCTGGGGACCATGGGGTCCCTGGAGATGGTGCCCAGTCCTTGCCCACGAGGCATCTCCCAAGGATGCTGATTTGCAGTCCCAGCAATAACTTCACTTGTCTGTGTGCTTCTGTTGCTAAATTCTGGAAATAACTTCAGTGCTGTGACCCCACGCACCTGGATGGGAATCTCTCTGGTGTGGATGGAAGGCACTGCCTCCTGCCAGGGGAGACCCAGGCTAGTCCTGACGGGCTGGCCAGGATTCTGAACCACACAGTTTGACAACAGGGCACATACATCTACATACACATGTATGTATTGGTCTCTTTCTCTTTAATCTAGAAATTTCAGAGGTGGATTGACATCATTTATGCCCACATAATTATGGAAAAGAGGTCTTCTGCTTAAGTTAAAATTTTCTGAAATATTAATGTTTCAAATACCAAAACTTTTTTTAAGTAGGCTCCATGCTGAGCTCCAATGTGCGCTTTGAACTCAGGACCCTGAGATCAAGACCTGAGCCAAGTTCAAGAGTCAGACACTGAACCAACTGAGCCACCCAGGAGCCCCTCAAATACCAAAACTTTTAAAGAACTGTTAAGAACTGACTTCCTAAAACATACCAGAAACTTCTCTGCGTTCTCAGGGTGACCATGCTGCCCACAACATCACTGGCAGCCGCCCTCCTGAGGGCAGAACACACAAGGCTGCATAGTGGAACTCACCACACGCACGTCTACCTCCAATGAGTTTCCACTTGGCAGAAGCCATATCCGCATGTAAACGGCACAGGCCAGGAGCACTCACCCTGGGGAGGGAGCTGACCTGTGTCCTGAGCACACTGGCTCCTCGGTCCCTGTGCACCCTCTGCACCACATCATGTTGGGTGTAGGGAGAGGGTCCTTCAGGGGCCACTCAGGGCAGAGCCTGGCCTCTCAGGAAGATGGGGACTCCACCGTCCCCTACTGTCCCCCCCTCCCCGTGCCATCCACAAAGCTCCCGTGAGCCTCATCAAGTGCCTCTAAGAACTGAGGTCCAAGACCGCTCTCTGCCCCTCAGAGCCTCCCCCTTCCTTCTGGCTTCACATCAGAATTCTGGATCCAGGAGAAAGAAGTCTGGCCTCCGGAGCAGAGAGTGAATATCGTATACTTTGTACCTTGAACCTGGCCTCTGAATGGTATGGAATGTGATATTGGTGGAAGAGGAGTGGATAAGGCTGTCACATCTGGAAAAGAAGTACAGGAAGCTCTGGTGAAATTCAGACCGTACGCGCAGGCTGGGCCAGCGAGCAAGGGCACCCAGGGCCAGAGCGAGCCTAGGACAGACACAAACATCTCCTACCTGGGCAAGGAAAATGTGGGACTACTACTGTCACATGGCACAGAAACCCTTACACACCAGGGTTCCTGCTGCCATGTCCGGGTCGGCCCCGCTCGTTTATAGCCACTTGGTTCACACCATTCACCTTCCCAGAGGGAGTGGACCTTGCTGCACTCAGAGCCCCTCCATTCCAAACGAAGGGTGTACTTCGACACATTTAGCAAACAAGTGGCAACTTTCCTTACAGAGGTGGGAAAACTTCTGCACTGGTGCCTGGGCCATCTGGCCTGACAGCAAGGGAATGTTAAAGCTACGGTTCTGCTAGAAACAGCTGGGCTTGGTACCCCAAGTGTGAAAAGGGCGAGGCTGGCCCGCTCCGTCAGTCAAGTGAAGCAAGGACCCCCAAAACATCGATGGCACCACTGCCACTAACGGTCACAGTCTGGCCCCAAGAACAGCCGTGCACAGCTTCAGGGCTGAACCACCACCACAGTCCCGGGAAAAGCCAAGGTCACACAAGGCCCCTCAGACCATTACCTTTCATGAAGAATCGGCAGGTGGGTCGCGGCCTCACCTTCCTGTCACTGGGGTCCTTTACTTCGCCCTCCTCCAGATCATCATCCTGAAACAAGGGACAAGAGGACTTAAGAGGGAGTCACCAGAACCAGAGACAGGAGGTGGCAGGAGCAGCTGCCAACAGGCAGGGCTTCACATTTCCACAAGACTCGTGTCTTCGCTGCTCAGCAATTCACGTAAGTTTTCGCAACCTCAGATTCCTCAGCCAATACAATGGCTCGCTCCTAAGACCCAGGCATTACACAGGAACACCAACTAAAAACACCCTGTGAAGGAGGTAAGGAAGGCACAAAGCAGGGTTTCACCATACTTCCCTTCATTAGCAATGTTGGGCAGAAAATGGTTACACTTCAGGTTTTTAACACTTTCTATGTTTAAACGATACTTATAGAAAATACTTATGCTCCTTTTCAAATTTATTTTTATTGATTTTAGAGAGAGGGAGAGAGTGCATGCAGGGGGGAGGGACAGAGGGAGAGAGAGAGTCCCAAGCAGACTCCCCACTGAGTGCAGAACCCCCTGTGAGATCATGACCTGAGCCAAAATCAAGACTCGGACACTTAAACAACCAAGCCACCCAGGTGCCCCAAAATATTTTATGTTCTTAAAACTAAATGCTGTGGGGTGCCTGGGTGGCTCAGTCGGTTTAAGTGTCTGCCTTCGGCTTGGGTCATGATCTCAGGGTCCTGGGATCCATCGAGTTGCATGTTGGGCTCTCTGCTCAGTGGGGAGTCTGTCTCTCAAATAAATAAAATCTTAAAAACAAAAACTAAACACACTAGGGTGCCTGGGTGGCTCTGTCGGTGAAGCGTCTGCCTTCAGCTCAGGTCATGATCCCGGAGTCCTGGGATCAAGCCCCAAAGTCAGGCTCCCTGCTCAGCGGGGACCCTGCTTCTGGCTCTCCTCCTGCCCCTCCCCCTGCTTGTGCTCTGTCTCTCTCTCACTCAAATAAACAAACAAAATCTTAAAAAAAAAAAAAAAAGAACAAAATGTTCTGGTATATTTCAAAGTGGCTCCTTAAAAAAAAAATTAAATTAAACACCAACATCCTCCAAAAGTCTAGGGCTGGGGAAGAGGGAGGTCAGACTCAGACCCAGGCCCTTCTCTTCACAGTTCAGAGCTCCTTGGCTGTCAAGCTTTTTTTTTTTTTTTAAAGATTTTATTTATTTATTTATTTATTTATTTATTTATTTATTTGAGAGAGACAGAATGAGAGGCAAGAGAGCACGAGAGGGAAGAGGGTCAGAGGGAGAAGCAGACTCCCTGCCGAGCAGGGAGCCCGATGTGGGACTCGATCCCGGGACTCCAGGATCATGACCTGAGCCAAAGGCAGTCGCTCAACCAACTGAGCCACCCAGGCGCCCCGGCTGTCAAGCTTTAACATGATGCAGAGCCTGGGTGGGTCTCACCCTCAGGGATTCCAAAGGACAGCCGTGATCTACTGCTCTGTGCCCTGTCCAGCCCCCACTACCCTAGGGCCTCAGTCACCACTGACCTGCAGACACCCACCTGTGCCCCTCAGTTGAGACCCCAGGCCCAGGGGTCACCTACAGCCCAGAGCCAAGTATGCAGCCACCCTACTGACCTCTCTGGTGGGAGGTCCAAGACGGAGCTTCTCATTGCCCCTGTGTCCTAGCCTGTTCCAGGGCAGTCAGCTCAAGGAGTCACACAGGGCTCTCCTGCAGCATCACCCTCATCCAAAATACTGCCCAGTCCCACCTGGTCTAGGAGCCACTTCCTACCTGGTGCCACCCCACTCACTCTTGACTGCCCACACCCAGTGACCTTTCTGACCCTGGCCCGCCTTCTTCCTTCTCCGCTTCTGTTTACATGCGGCTCATCTCATTTTCAGATGACAGGTGAGTCTCCTTCCTCAGGGCCCCCCAGCTCCCTTCGCGACGGGTTCTGGCAGCACGGGTCATGGCCACCGCGGCTCTCTCCGCCTGAATGGGAGCTCTACCGGGCTGGACTGTGGCACGTACAAGCACAGCAATGGGCTTGTAGTCAATGGTAAGCACTTGTTGAAGGAAAAAATACTGAAGTCAAACCCTGGATTTACGATGACTTATTTTTAAAGCTTAGGTATTTGTATCATTTCTGCCTTGAAAATATTTACTTATTAAAAAAGCATTTTAGGGGCGCCTGGGTGGCACAGTTGGTTAAACGTCCAAGTGTTGGTTTCGGCTCAGGTCATGGTCTCAGGGTTGTGAGAATGAGCCCCATGTTGGGGTCCATGCTCAGCATGGAGCCTGCTAGAGACTCTCTCTATCCCTCTGCCCCTTCCCGCTGCACACACATGCACTAATAAATAAATCTCAAAAAAAAAAGGCATTTTATATACTGAAAAGAACAAATGCTGGAAAGTTATATCCTTTAAGAACTAAAAGATGACTTATTTTCTTTGAAAAAGATTAAATAATTTATTCAAGGACTTTTTTAGGTCCCCAAACGTACTCATCTTCTAACTGAAGTGTGTCCCCTTGGAGCACCAGCACCACCTCCCCACTTCCCAAACCACAGGCTGATTTCCTTACGTCTCAGAGGAAACGTGTTTCCTTCATGCGAGGGACAAAGCAGCGCTCTCCTCTGGTTCTTAGCATCTTCTTTTTACAACTGTCCTCACAGTGATGATCACTATGCTAACACCTTCCTGTGGTGTTTACATAGCTCAAATGGAGAGCAGATTCTTCATGGTCATTAGGAAAACAAACTCTTATGAAAGGTTACAACCTGTTCAAATCTCTCTGCTTCACTTGGAAATTAAGGAACAGGAGTTGCGATGAGGAGAGCAGGTCTGCAGTCAGGACTCACAGCAAGTGCACTAGATCAGATTTAAAGAGGTATTTCTGCAAAGCTGTGACTTTTAATACTTGGCAGAGCACAAAGGAGAACCACCCACCCATCTTCAGACTGGTGAGCAGTCATATGAGCCATATAAAGGAGTTCTGTGCAGCTGCTGAAAACGCTCTGTAACAGACCTAGCAACGCACGGTAAAGCACCCGCGATAGAACATCCACCCGGAGAACGCCCACTGGCCGCTGCCCCCCAGCCCCCACACCTGCTAGGATGGAGACGGACAGCTGTCCCTGGTTTATGGTCTGCTGGGTTTATGGTCTCCCCTTTAATTAAAACACAAACAAGATCAATAAATCACTCGGCAATATAATATCCCGAAATTTTCAACGAACCATTTAGTATGATGGCTTTTCAACTGATGAAAAATTAAAATGAGTTGTTAAATCTTGCAGAGTTTCATGCAAACACAGATCAAGAGAGGGGATTCTAAAGTCAAATTCACACCGCTCAGTTGTTGGTGGCTATCATGGTGAGTGTGTAATGCATGCGGATTCTTTCAGATTACCTGAATCACCTGATCATGTGGCTGCAGGCAGAGACAGTAGAGAGTAGGAGACAGGGAGAGGACCCAGTGGTCCAGCCAGAAGCAAACTGGTGCGTCTAAACACGGGACAGCACCCTTGACACAAAGGGAAGGAAACACACCAGAGATGGGAGGACGCGAGTCGGAAAAGTCAAAATCAAAGACCCACAAATACGTATCCGAGTGGTCGTCAAACCCAGACGGAAGGAATGGCTCTGGCAAGACCCAGCAACTGCAGGAGAAAGGAAGACCTTCACACAGTAGGAGCTGATGTTGGTGGGCTCCACCCACTCTTCTGAGAGAGGCAGAGGCAGAAACCAAGCCACAGGTGAGTCTGCTGTTAAGTGTGGCTTCCAGAACAGGTGAGAGACTACGGATTAACTAAGGCTCCCTGGGGCTTGGATGTCAGGGACCCTCGGCCCCCACTCCACAAACAAGCCAAGGTGCCATAAATAGTTGGCCCACGCTGTGTGCAAAACCCCACCCCTACAAGTACCACAAAGCGGTACTTGCAGAAAGGTATCTGCACGGGAAGGGTATTTTGGCAGCACACCAAACATATATAAAGGTCATTCAAGGTCTTAGTCACAAATTGTGTGGTTTAAGACAAAAGAATTTTAAGGGTTTATTGCACAAATTGATGTCATCATCAGGAAAACTACCAAGAAGGCAGAAAAGTTGGGGACGGTGGGGGTGACCCCACCGCATATCAGGTCACCTGTCCCAGTGACCCAAAATCTAAAAGTGAGAAAAAAGGCAGGACAATGTCTTATGACAGAAGAAAAAATACTTGGCTTTTTAGACTCTTCATTCAGCTGTTGGGCAATTCAGGGCCGGAAGGCTGCAGAGAGGAGGCAGGCAACAGGGGGGTGGAGGGGAGGTGCTCTGGGTCCCAGGGAGCGTGCTGGGCAAAGAAACTCTCAGGGACATTAGTGAATGCATATTTTTGAGGTGTAAGCCAAAATGCACATTTCCTCCTCATAATGCATCCAGGTAGTTCACTTTTGATGAGCGGGCTTGAAAGCAATAAGCCAAAACACCCTCTGGGATGTATACTTTCCATGAGGCCAGAGGCTACTTTGCAGGGATTCACTAAAGGGGATCAAGCCAAAGGACTGGTGAGAGCAGGCTGTTCCCAGACGCAAGCGCAGACCTCTGACAGTCAGAGGGTGGGGGGCAGCTGGGAGTGCAGCCGGCAGGGCCCAGAGCAGAAATCGGCAGAGAAGCTCCTGGAGGGCAGCCGTGCTCCCGTGAGGCTCTGAGTCACATCCACAGTGCCTCGCCCTCCCCTTGCTGAGGTCTGCCTGTCTCCAAGGGGGGTAACAGGTCCTGCTCTGCCCGGTCACTCTGGTAACAGTACAATGACCCTGGCACATCACAGGGCCCAGAGGGGCTGAGACCAAGAGGCACCATCCGTGGCGCGGGGAGGTGGGGAGGCTGGTTTTGCATAGCTGAATGAAGCTGTACTCAGGTCTCCTCAGCAGCACTGTTTCCAACTAGGCTGGGGGCCCCTCACAAGAAGGTGTGATGGACAGCAAAGCCAGCCAGCCAGCCAGCCAGCCAGCCAGCCAGCCAGCCAACCAACCAATGGTAGGATCTGAGGGGACAAGAAAGACAAACTAGATTTTTATTCCACATGCTTTTTCTAGGGAACCAGCCAATTTCTAGACAACGGGCATTTTCCAGGGCTGGCTCAGTTCAACCCAAGGTCCCACACGACTACACCTAAGTAGTGGCAAGCCCGCTGGTGCGAGGACAGCAGGGTTCTCCAGGACCTGTAGGGAGACACCTGACCCTATATGACCATGGAAAGGTAGGAAAGGAGCTGAATTTCCCCCTAAGACTTACTCAACAGTTGAAGCAAGAACTCACAACTGATCCTCTCTGAATGGGACACAGGCTGCCAAGGACCCCAGGGCCATAGCATCCTGGTAATCAGGAGCCCCCCCCCTCATTTTCTTGGGACGCAACAAAGCCACGCTTTTCACTCTGTGACACTGAGAAACCACATTCACAGGCAATCTAAACCAATAACTTCATCTTCTGCCTAAAATTTCACCCAAACTGATGAACGTGAGTTTCACAGCATCTCTTCCCTTTGGTAACCCTGTGGTAGAGGTACATTTTCCAAAACTGGAAGGGACGCATGGCTGGAAAACCTAAGGACACCTGCATAATCACGTCCTGACAATACCCTTTTAAATAAAATACCAAGCAAAGATTATTAACTTAGTTGTGAAAGATAAAAGATCTAAAATTCTGAGCTTGTAAGCACACACCCGCCCCCCCACAAAGTTCTGTTCGTGTGAACCAAAGTTAGATAAGCAATGTTTAAAACCCTATAAATTTACCAGGCATAGCCATGCTCCACCACCACGGTTTGAAATGGACTGAGCACATATGTACCAGCAGCCAACTAAGAAGTGTGGTGCTTACCATGAACCAATGGCTAAGTGCTTCACTAGCAACCTTTTCCCTCCTCCAACCCAAAACATTTGTGAGACCTATTCCACACACCTTTCATTGCCATGACTCCTGGACAGGCAGCATCTCCTTCCCTGGGGTACTTAAAAAACCCCTGATTATTTCAATGTGCTCTATTCCTCTTTCAACTCCTTTGAGTAAAAGTATTAGTCAGCAGGACTTTGGGCTCCCCCCACCCCCAAAACTCAACTTTTTTAAAGATCATGATTACAAAAGGAGTGCCTGGGTGGCACAGTTGGTTGACTCATGGTTTCGAGATCAAGCCCCACGTAGGGCTCCTTGCTCAGTGGGGAGTCTACTTAGGACTGTCTCTTCCCTCCCCCCACCACAAGCAAGCACTCTCTCTCTCTCTAATACATAAATAAATCTTTAAAAAAATGATTACTAAAGAGGCAAGAATATGCAATGGGGAAAAGTCTCTTCAACAAATGAGGTTGGGAAAACTGGACAGTAACATGCAAAAGAATGAAACTGGAACATTTTCTTACACTATATACAAAAAACAAACTCAAAATGGATTAAAGACCTAAATGTGAGACCTGAACCAATAAAAATCCTAAAGAAGAGCACACGCAGTACTTTCTCTAGCATCGGTTGTAGCAACATTTTTCTATATATGTCTCCAGAGGCAAGAGAAACAAGCAAAAATATACTGGGACTTTATCAAGATAAAAAACTTTTGCACGACAAAACTGAGAGGCAACCTATGGAATGGGAGAAGATATCTGCCAATGGCATATCCAATAAAGGGTTAGTAATATAAAGAAATTATAAAACTCAGTAACAAAAAAACAAATAATCCAATTAAAAAATGGGCAGAAGACATGAACAGACATTTCTCCAAAGAAGACCCACAAATACCCAACAGACACATGAAAAGATGCTCAATATCACTCACCATCAGGGAAATGCAAATCAAATCCAGAATGAGATACCACCTCACACCTGTCAGAATGGCTACAATTAGCAAGTCAGGAAACGACAGATGTTGGCAAGGATGCAGAGAAAGGGGAACCCTCCTACACTGTTCATGGGAGTGCAAGCTGATGCAGCCACTCTGGAAAACAGTACAGACGGTCCTCAAAAGGTTGAAAACAGAACTAACCTATGACCCAGCAAAGGCACTACTGAGCATTAACCCCAAAAACACAAAATACTAATTCAAAGGGATACATGCACCCCTACATTTACTGCAACATTATTTATAATAGCCAAGATATGGAAACAGCCCAAGTGTACATCAATAAATGATGGATAATGAAGATGTGGTGTAGGCACACCATGGAATACTACTCATCCGTAAAAAAAGAATAAAATCTTGCAATTTGCAACAACATGGATGGAGCTAGAGAGTATAATGCTAAGTGAAATAAATCAGTCAGAAAAAGACAAACACCACATGATCTCACTCAGACGTGGAATTTAGGAAACAAAACAAACGAGCAAAGGGAGAAAGAGAGAGAGGCAAACCAAGAAACAGACTCGTAACCACAGAGAACACCATGACGGTCAGCAGGGAGGAGGGTGGGGGGCTGGGGGAACAGGGGATGGGGATGAAGGGGTGCACTTGTCTTGAGGAGCACTGCATGATGTATGGAAGTGTTGAATCACTCTGTTGTACACCCGAAACTACTACTACACTCTATGTTAACTTTCCTGGAACTAAAATAAAAAACTTAAAAAGAAAGACAGATCATGATCACAGTCCTTTCAATAGGATTATACATCATAAAAACCCAACCCATCCGTGTCTGAGAGGATACGTTAGTGTTACCTTCTCTGTAACCTGAAAGTCAGAGTATTTCAATAAATTATAACAAAGTGTGATGGCTTGATCCAAGGCTGAGGTGTTTGGAGGCACAACCCCCTATGATCCATTCCTAAGGGTCTTTTCAGGGACACCTGCAAAGACGCTCGGCCCAGCCGGCACCCTTGCCAGAGGACGGGCTTAGGGACAAAGATAACCTAGAAGAGCAGACAAAACCTAAAGGGAGCTTCTGGAGCTCATCAGTCTCAAGAACTTAACAGGAACTGAAAATCCACGATGGTTTTAGTAGAATGTGACCTCAGGTATTACTTAAAGATAGCAAAAAGAAAGAGAGAAGTGATCTTTTTAATTGTTACACAAACCTAGAGCTCAAGTAAACAAAGTCAGGGTGAGGGATTTTAATGCACTCCACCCAGGAGCAGCAGACAGGGGAGGGTCCACAAGCTTCTGCCAGCTACCAAGCGGCAGAACCAAGTTTCCCGCATCTAGCCTAGTCCTCCCCCTTGGTTTTTGGCGCTCCCTAGCCACCAGAGTCCTGACTTCCCAGCCCTCCTGTGCCCTGTGTCCTGGACGCCTGACCCCCGCTCAC